ACCTCGCCCTTGTAGCTGGGTTTTCCCCCTGCACGGAGCCAGCGTGCAGTTAGTCTGGTGTCCGAACCCTTGAACTTAGTGCTATTTCGACATGTCGCGATCGTTAGAGAGGTGCCGATTGGGAGGTTTTTGTGGAAGGTGGTTTAATTTTTCACTTTGTTGTTGTTGTTGATGGTGGTTTCGGGGGGTGTAGTTTAAAGGAATTGAGGTTAAGTTCATAGCACTCAGGTTGTCCCTTTCTGAAGGGCTAAATATAATGACTTATAAGTATCACTTAAGATAAGGCAATTTTCCCAGTGAGATACTAATTTTGGGGGGGTGGGCACCCTTATCTTACAGAAAAGTTTGTGGGTGAAAGGTGATCATCTGCTCCGGATAGAGAGGAGTGTGTGGTGGTAATGGGGACGGGGGGAGGTTATTTTGCTCTGCCTGATTAGAGAAAATTCTGTGGGTTTTGGGGTAATCTGTTTGGATTTCAGGTGCTCTGTGCCCCGGTTAACGCTAGTGTTTGTGTGCGTGTTTGTTTTGGTTAGAGAAGTGTATTGGTCGAGGATGGGGAAGAAGAGATTCTCCCCGACAGTAGAAGCTGCAGCAGCCTGTAGGATCTTAACATGGCGCCTGAAAGGCACATGATATAAAAAGAAAGGAAAGCGGAGGCTCCCTCTGAGCCACACCCAGGCAGTTGCTGACATCAGTCAGCCACAGCACATGGATGGGGGTTTACAGCACCTTTTTAACAGCAGCATTTTGTAAGAAAAGGGTTCTTCTTTCAATTCCCCCCCTCCCCCCATTCGTGCCAGTCATCCCTCCCCCGTGGTTTCCCTTGCTCCCTCTGATCTCACGTGTTCAAAGGCTTTTTTTTCCTTTGGCTTGAAATCGTGGTTTATAATGGTGAGAATTGTACTATCTAATGATGGGGAGGGAAGGATCTCTTAAAGAAGTTACTCTTATCTTTCTATCAATGCAGGCTGGCTTTTTAGTGTTCCACAGACCTCTTCCAGTCTAGTTTTAAATGCTGCCAGTGGCTGAGTTTTGCCATTCCTTGGGGAGGTGACCTAATAATTGAATAGATCTCACCATTATATCTCCTAAAGGGCAGTGGATGTGTATAAAATGATTTGTGATAAATAATGCTGTCAAATTTTTTTTTCTTCTTCATTTCTGGGTCATTTAGAACCTGCCCTGAAGTGTGATTTCTATTTTTTTTTCCTCTTTTTTTTTTTTAAGATGTCTAAACTCCTGTATCAATGGTTAGTTTTGCCTAGTTACTGTTTGTGACTGTGGTTTATCAAAGGCGAGTTTTTAGTTGTTTCTGGGAAAGCGATCTCCTTTACTAAGCCACTTTTAAGAAGTGTTGCCTTGGAGACAGTTTGTTTAGTGTAAAACTCGAGTGGTCTGCTTTACAACTGAATAAATGGTTCTGAAATGTGTGACTGGTATGATAAAATTTGTAAATAAAAAGTGTGAAATATGTATTTGTCTTTTTATTTACCACTGTATAGTGCAGAGTTTGTTTCCAAGACCCATTTTGTATACAAGGGTTGTTTTGTTTTTTTTTATAAAACCAATTTTGGCACAAGTTTGTGACTTGGGGGTCGATTGCCAGAAATCTTGAAATCTTTTAGGAAACTAATAAAAAAGAGCCACACATTTCCAACAATAGCTTTCCGACATTATTTGAAGGAACAGTGGGAATTTTGTAACGAAGTCTTGAATGCTGCTGAGCTCAGAGTTAGTGGTGGTCTGTGTTCTGGTGGTGATGCGGCGCCTCCCTGCCTTTCGGTTAGCGGGCATCTTTCTTGCTATGTGGGCATCTTTCTTGGTAGGGGGTATTGTATAGACCGCCTGAAAACAAAACCCATTCCAGCCTGGGGTTCCTTTGAGTGGTTACTGGAATATGCGCTAGATACCTAATAAACATTTCCAGAAGGGAAGACTTAAATATTCCGACCGTATTTAAGTCATGGTTCTTAAAACGCGACACCTGAAAGCTTATCTTTGAAGCAGGGTACGCTACTAAGCTGCTAATCTGTGCCATAGTTCGGGGTAGGCTTCCTTACGAGGTGCTTCCGTGTGTGATGACTTCTCAGAGTCAGATGCGTAATGAAAGTGACCGTTAAATGTTACTTTGCTTTTGCTACTAAATGATTCCCCAGCGTCTCAAACTTGGTGCTTGGCTACACACAGCAAGATACTCCCGTACATCGGTGAGGTGGAAGAAGAGTCTAACACACTGTGTTAGCAGCTCTTGGGCATAGGCACTTCTGAGGCAGCTCTTTGTTTCCTTTAAAAGTCAGAAATGGTGCACTCTCATTTTTTTTTCTAAAGGCAGACTTTCAGAACTTAGTGTTCTTCATGTGCCACTGTGCAGACTGCTCGAAAGGGAAAACCAGTATTCCACAGACAGTTTAATATTAAGTAGTTGTAGACCCACGGGTTTAGATCCCTGAGACTAGAGAGATGCCTTTATTCTAACACTGTTGCATATTAGCTTGTTTAGAAATAGACTACGTTCTAGTGTAAGATAGGCTTTTAGTGTGCTGCATTTAACTTAATTTGGTTAACTTTACTGCATTTTCCTGTCTTTTTATGGACAAAATACAGCACCTGCCTGTTCTGACTTTTTTCGGCGTGCTTAAAGGCAGTGACACTCCCCACCCTGTCCCCAACTAACAAGGAATTCTGCCCTCTTCAATGTTAAGTTTCAGGTCATGGTAAATAAATACACATTTAAGGATGAGGAAACATTGTGATTTACCCATATAAAAGTATTGTTGACTTGGTGCCCTTCTGTGAACCACCTTAAAGGGGAATTAAACCTAAAATTGTAAAGCAAGAACACTTCCACACACTTGTCTGGACAAGGGGCTACGACATACGGTGTCATAAATGAACCCAGTAGCCTGTCCTGTTTAAAATGAGCAGTGAGTGGAGTTACTGTGGTCTTACCCTGATCTTACCGCATGGTGAATGGGACTTAAAAGTATTACAAGCGGATGCTCTTCTAACGGGATCACGGTCAACACACAGCTTGTGGTGTTGTCTTTCGTGTTCTCTTCCACAAGTCTGTATTTGCTGACGTGTTCTGGAACTTTCCTGTGCCTTCTGCTTTGTGAAAGCCAGTGGTGGGCATTAAAATCACCTCGATCGGGCTGGTAGTGCTTTGTGTACATTAGAAGTTGCTGTAGTGGTCCAGTGTCACCACACCTTTGTTGCACAAACTTATGCACAAGTTTTGAAACCGGATATTAAACAGACAACTAAACCCAAACAACAAACCCCAAGCCTCCTGTTGTGACAAAGATGTGTCCATGAAGACTCCCTTCTGTGAAAATCCTGGTTGCAGTTCCTGAGGCTGTGCCTTTACCCAGTTAACCAGATACTTGAGTTCCCTCTGGATTTTGAACCTTGTGACTGTGTGTTTTTGCATGCACTCTGAAAACTGAACTGTCGCTGTGTGCAAGTGCCTGCAGAGAACGGGACTCGCTCCAGCCGTGTGGATTACGCTGCGATAACTGCAACCTGTTCTACGTGTGGTTTATGAAATGACTGATACTCAACAGCTACAGAAGTTCCCTGATTTGGGCTGTTTGCCAGAAGTCTGATTTGTGTTCTATGAAACCCAGAAAAACCCCAGCATTCAGGAGGTTTGAATCAGAAACTTTTTTAGACATTCCTTGAAGTGCTACCGATTGACTCCTGCTTACTTAAAACTACTTTCTCAAGCAGGTTTTCAAAGGTTCCATCAGTACACTAGCAGCAATACTGTCTTGGGGGCTTCTTTTTTTCTTCTTTTTTTTTTTTTTTTTGCTTTTTCTTTTTGCCTTTTCCCAAGCTTTGGTACACAGACAGAATAACCCGAGGTGTTCCTTTTTTGTGTGGTAGACCCACCGCGGTATACTTTGAACTGAGTTATTGATTTTCCAGAGTAAGTTTTTTATATAAACAGAAAAAAAATCCCAAGCCAATTCCCTTGGTGTTTATAGTGGCAACCAAAAAGAGAGGTCTGTATTTCTGGGATTGGTTATCCCTTTATTTAAAAAGCTTAATGTATGTTTTTGTTGTACTAAACTTCTCAGTTTCTTCTTATTACTCCAGGCTCCTGCATCAGAGAAGCTTCCAGTTATGTACCTTATGGATTCCATTGTCAAGAATGTCGGAAGAGAGTATCTTACTGCATTTACTAAAAACCTAGTTGCAACATTTATTTGTGTATTTGAAAAGGTATATATACTTTCAGAAAAGTTCTGTATTCTAAGAAAAAAAATGTGTTCCTGGTAAAATAAATACATGCTTTCAGTTTTGGGTTTTCTTGGGTGCTGAACCATAGACATTGGTTGGGTTTTGTCCACCTCAGTACTGTGTCTATACTGCGGAATATCAACCATGTAAGTTACGCGTTAGCTGAAAGACGCAAAGTCTTTCTTAGTTTGGTTCACAACCATCTGTAACTTTCCTATATCCAGGCAAGATTTTACTAATAGGATTTTGTTCACCTGGATGGACCTTTTGTCATGTATAGACCAATTAATTATGAATTGTTGGTTTAGTGTTAGGACCGTAAATAGTCTTTATGCAAAGAATAGACTGAGAATCCGTTTCTGGCGGATTTCCCCAGAGCTGCTCTCTCCTGTAGTTAGATTTGTCTGGTTTGCTTAATTCATGATGTGCAAAATGAGTGCTAAACTGCGAAGAGTGAACAGCACCGATGCCTAATTCTTTCCTGCTGGTCTGTGATTTGAAGGGAAAAAAGAAAAATGCTAGGGGGAAGGGGTGTTAGAAAGCATTGCTATTATTTTACGTGACAAATACGGTTTAATTTCATTTAACATTGAGAACTGTTGCCATATCTTTTAATTTTTGCTCTTGATCTTTAAACCCAGGAAGTAATTCTGCGTATTCCCCAGTAAGAAAGGCAAATGGAAGTCCAGTTTTTGGAAGGCTGGACTTGAATGGGTTTAAGTTGGATCAGAAATGAAGGGTTAGCTTCTGTGGTTTCCTGTGTGATTTAAGAGAGTCGCATCTCATACGAATGAGATGTTTGTGTATTTGCCTGTCACTACGTATCAGTGAGGATCTGAGATCCCACTACGCTTTGTATATGGTTTTCAGATGTGATATGCATGATGAAATAAGGACTAGATGGTAATCACGACCACAGAACTCTTAAATGCCTGTGTGTAGAGTAGATAGGTAGATACTTACTTGTTCTTTCAGTATTAAGTGGTGACTATTTTGGGGTGGTTTTTTACTGAGTTGATACTTGTTCTTTCAGTATTAAGTTGTGACTATTTTGGGGTGGTTTTTTACTGAGTTGATACTTACTTGTTCTTTCAGTATTAAGTTGTGACTATTTTGGGGTGGTTTTTTACTGAGTTGCATTTAATGTTGCAGCTGATGCTCTGGATAATAACTAATTTTCAGAGTTGTATAGGTTAACTGCTAAGCTAACTAGAACTATTCACTTCATGTGTATTAATGAATTGTGTAGTCACTCCTAATAGCTTAACCAGTCGTGTTAAAAAGATGCAAGTAGAATTCCAGCAGTGACATTGTTACAAGTTCTGTTTTACCAGTCAGTGATCACTGAGGTACCTTTAGGCACTTGATGAAGGCAGAAACTTTTGCTCAGTCTTTTCTGCACCTTTTGCAGAGAACTTCATACCCTCTCGTTGAAAATTTTATAGGGGCACCCCCCAAGTAGCCAACTAGGGATTGCTTTTGTTGAAGTTCCTACTCCTCCTTGGAAGAACCTCTCAGCTTCCCACTGGGTCTTGCTGTAACATACTAAAAATTACCCTGCAGCAAAACCAACCTACACAGTCAATACTTAATGCTCGAATTGGGACATTGACATTAGAACAGCTGCATGTGTTTGTCCTCAAATATTTTTCATTTATTGTTCATTGAACTACTCAAGTTATGAGATTAATTAAATTTTGCTTTACTGCAAGTTTCCAACTTAGCTGTCAGGAGATAATCCAAACACGTTGTTTGTGAAGAGAGAAAACAGGCACTGGTCCCACAGGTCCTCTTGATCTGTGGCTCACAGGCGGGTCTAATTTTGCAGCTGAACTGAAATACAATTGACTTAAAATAGCCCTTTTGTGGCATTTGTTGGGAAGAAAATCCTTCAGTGGCTGACGAGCTAAGCAAAACACCTTTTCTGTGCACAAAGCTTGTGGTTTCCTGATCTGTTTGTCATTGTTATAATCCATTCAGCACAAACACTTGAACAATGTATTGTCTCAGAGGCTGTTGCCTTTCAATATTTTTATTACTGTATTTTTTCCACAGAAATTGGGCAAGTAAAATGAGAATTTTGGTAATGGAAAAGTTGAAAGAAAATTCTCAGAGAATGGTAATACACAATAAAACCTTCCCATGGCCTTGAAACAACAATCCCACATTTGAGCTTCTGTTACTGATTCCATTGGTATAGATGTATGATCTGCACTGCTATAATTCTGTATTTAAACCAGCAAACTGTTGCTAGAACTAGGAAATGAATGAAATAAGTTCTACAGAAAAGTTTAAGAAATTGTTTTATATTAACTTAACAAGCCATAGAATTGTTTTATTGTTTTAGGTGGATGAGAATACTAGGAAAAGTTTATTTAAATTACGCTCCACATGGGATGATATTTTTCCTTTGAAGAAACTATATGCACTTGATGTCAGAGTCAACTCATTAGATCCTGCTTGGCCAATTAAACCTCTGCCCCCAAATGTGAATACTTCTAGCATCCATGTGAATCCTAAGTTTTTAAATAAATCGGTAAGTTCTTACTCCTCCTGTATGAACAGATGGTAAAACGTGTCATTTTCATTGTTTGTTTGCTGCTTTTTGACAATTTATTATCAATGAAGTAACTTTTGTTGCCAGGTAAGAGGCATTTCTGAATTGAGAGTATTTGCTGGGTTTGGTTTGTCTTAGTTCAAAACTACTCCTGATTTTGGAACGTGATGAATTTATAATCAATGGTAGGCTTGTCACAGCAGGAGATGACAGTGGGGCAAAAGGTTTATATTGTTTTAAGTACATTTTGCATTAAAAATGCCATTTCTAACTGCTGTACAAACCTAAGCGCCAGTACTAGATCATGGCAGCAGTTAAAGGAGATGGAGCTGTTTGATGCCACCAGGATTTTAAATGTAACTTTTGTTTATTGTGTTTCTAGCCAGAGGAATCTGCTGCACCTACCTCTGCTGTCACTTCTGGTGCCTCTACTCCTCCTGCTGTTCCTGAAATACAAAAGAATTTGACACAGGAGCAGCTAATAAGGCAGCAATTGCTTGCAAAGCAAAAGCAGTTGTTGGAACTTCAACAAAAGAAATTAGAGCTGGAGCTGGAACAGACGAAAGCACAGTTGGTGAGTAGGAGAGTTGGTGAAACTTGTGCAGTTGGGTCTCACTTACTCCTGGGCAGTGCTTAGGGGTGCTGATAACTACAGCAGTACTTTCTCCTTGGGTGAGTGTAGCTGGTTTAGGACTAGAGCAGTGCAAGTTGATCTGGGCTTCCTGGACAGTACTTGTTACCTAAAAACCTTAAGAATTACACTCAGAGGTTAAAAAAAGGGTGAAATTCTTGGTGTTTTGTTTTTTAACGTCTCTCCAAAATGATGCCTGCCTCTGATCCTCACCTTCCACCTCTTCTTGTGGCTCATATTAAGCCAGGCTTTTTCAAGTACGTTTGCTCTTACAGAATGGGGAAGCCTGATTGTTGGAAGCAAAGTCAGTTTCCTCATTAGGTCAGGTTGGTTTGTAAAGCTGTGTTGTTATACACTGGTAACTGAAAGGCTTGCTGCGTTGACAGTTGATGATACCAAAATAAAGCATCTTTGAGGCATAGAAATCTGAACATTATATCAGCTGCTTGGCAGCTTTGTCGCCTTGAGCATATGGAATATATAGAAAAACTAACACTGTACGGAGAGCATGTGCCCAAGCTGCAGATTTTGCAGTATTGACTTTGTTAGTCCTGGTTTTACATGAGATTTGAGTTCCATCTTTTGTAATGGCTCTGCGTTGTTTTCAGACTTGCAGTTAACAGTGGGTCATTTTCAGTTAAATGGCTGACTCATAATTTTCAAGACATTTCTATTTCTAGTTTTGGTTTCGAGGTAGAACATGAACATCTCGAGGTAGTTGTGTCATGCAGATTAATGTAGGTTTTTTTCCCTGTTTCAGGCTGTATCTCTTAGCGTTCAGCAAGGATCATCGTCTGTAGCTTCAGTTCCAGCACCTTCTAAGCAACACATGTCTTCCACACCTCACATGACAGTGAAAGCACCTCATCAGACTGCTGTGCAATCTGAAAAAAACAAGCCATCCCCAAGTCCTCCACTTCATGATGTCAAAATAGCAAACAGGGACCCTCGGCTTAATAGGATGAGTCAACATTCGTCTCATGGTAAAGATCAGTCTCATAGGAAAGAGTTTCCACCGAGCACAACCAGTCAGTCTGATACCAAGACAAGCAAAACAACCCAGTCTGAAAAACAGAACTCAACAAAGCAAGAGAAATCGAAAGCAAGTGAAAAAACACAGAAGAAAGAACTTGACCAGTCAGAAGCAAAATCTAAATCACCATCCCCTTTGAAAAATAAGCAGCCCAGTACTAAAGATACTAAAAGCCAGGAAAGTGAAAGCACAAAAATCCCTGATATTAGTAAGCGGGATCCAAGACTGAAAAGACATCTTCAAGATAAAGAGGGCAAAGAGGAGGAGGTGAAGGAAAAGAGGAGGAATACAGAGAAGAAAGAAAAAGAGGAACATAAGACAGGTGAACACAGACCAGCAGGCAGCAGAAATAAAGTCATCAATGGTGCTGTTCAGAAACAAGACACAAGTACAGAGGAGGCAGAGAAACAGGGTGGGAAACAAGGGAGATCAAGTAATAGGAAACGATCACGATCGCGCTCTCCTAAGGCACGGTCGCCATCTACACATTCCCCAAAAAGACGGGAGAGGAGGTCACCCAAAAGAAGACTCCGGAGTTTATCTCCCACTTCATCAACTCCAAAAATTGGAAAGATCCGTCAGATAGGCCCTAAGCAGTCTCACACTGAAGAAAGCACGCAAGCAGCAAGAGAGGAAAGAAACTCCACTAAGAGGAATGCTAAACAAGAGGTGCGAGATCCGAGGAGAGTGAAAAAAGCCCAAGAAGACAGGCCCCAAGAAACAGCAAGCCAGCATTCTACTAAAGCTTCTCCTGATCCAAAGGAGAATGCAGAGAACTGGCAAGGATCCAAATCAGGCAAGAGGTGGAAATCTGGTTGGGAAGAAAATAAAAAGTAAGTTACTATCTTTAAAACAACTTCTCTTGGAAGTCAGTGGAAATTCCACTGCTGACTTCCGTGTAGTCACCTTTGGGAGGCAATGTTCAGATGGTTAAAGTGGATAAGTGTAATGTGTTTCTACTGGTGAAATATGGAACTGGTGTCTGCTCGGTTCTGAGGTGGTAGTGTTGTTTTGCTGTCATCAGTTCTAACGGGGATGTAACAGTCATGTCCTGCGGTAATGAAGTAATCTGTATTTTAAATGTATTCTTGCTTTCAGCACACAGCAGAGTGAAGAGCACCAAGCACTTGGTAAATCCCCTCACCAAAGACACCGGGAAAACTGGCCTGCTGGCAAAGGAATTCTGTCACCCCGAGCACCAAAGCAGCAGCACCGGTTAAGTGTGGATGCCAATTTACAGATCCCCAAAGAATTGACATCTGCAAGCAAGAGAGAATTACTTAAGAAGGTAATAATCATAGATCTTCATAGAAGATTTGTAAGTCTTCAAAGAAGTATCCTGGGTATAGTTTGCTTTGCCTTTTGGAAGTCTAAACTTTTAACTTTATATTCTAGGCCAATGAACGCTTGACATCAGGTGAAATAACACAGGATGAGTTCCTCATGGTGGCTCATCAGATCCGACAGCTGTTCCAGTATCAGGAAGGAAAGCACAGATGTAATGTCTGGGATAGCCCTACAGAGGAAAAATGTGGTTTGAAGAAGAAACCTCTTCTGTCAGATGCAGAGTTAACATATTACGAACATAAAGCTAAACTAAAAAGAACACAAGTTCAGCATTCGTTGTCCAGGCTTGATCTGTTGGATCCTGATGATATTCTGGATTATCATATACCTGATGCATTGCTTTCTGGAATAGAGTGTGAGCAAGCAAAAGCCAAGCGTGGAGTACAGTTTGATAGGAAAGAGCCATTTGGGGAGAGAGCGAGGAGACACTCTCCTGTAAGTGGCACTAACAGACCTTTTGCTGATAACCTCTCACCGCTTGAGGGTCGACGAAGACTTGAGGAACAAAATGCTACCAAGGGAGCAAGAGGTTCCAAGAACTTTGATCCTTACGACAGCTGGGGAGAATCAGAGGAATTCAGAGATGCTCTGAGGCAACAGGGGAAAAGCACATCCACAGAGTTCCAGAAAATAGATGGTGATGCAATCTGCAGGTTTGAAAATCGTGAGGAAAGACAACTTCTTGGGCAAGCTGGTACGTGCTTTTCCTTTGTGTTACATCTCTCAAACTCTCACTAACGTTTTGCCAATTACTTAACCTGGTTTGCTCTGTTTTTTTCAGGTGTTCGAGAGGAACCACGGTCCCCGTTCAGTGAACGTTTCAAAAGAACTAGGTATGAAGATCCAGAGAAAGCACCGTTTCCAGAAAGTCCAGGATCAAGATTTGGAGGCATTGAAGCAAAGCAGAGGATAAGTGCACTGATGGAGGAGAGATCTCTATTTGATGGCTCGCCTAGACAGGCTGCTGCAAGGGTTGGGGTAGATGGACAAGGAAGCCCTTTTGGTGATGCTCCTGCTGCTGGGTCAAGCTCCAGAATCGATGGGCCACCTGGACAGGCTGCTATGAGATTTGAGGGGCCTTTGGTGGGAGCAAGTGCATCTCAGTTTGATGGACCGCTGGCAGGAGCAGGGGGAGCTGGAGCCCTAAGATTTGATGGGCCACCAGGGCAGCTGGCAGGGGCCCTGAGGTTTGAAGGACCCCCAGGGCAGGGTGGTGGAGGAGGTCCACTGAGGTTTGAAGGCCCTCTTGGGCAGATAGGTGGGCCGTTGCGCTTCGAGGGGCCTGCAGGTGGTCCTAGATTTGAAGGACCCGGAGTTGGCCTCAGGTTTGAGGGTCCCCGTGGTCAGCCTTCAGGTGGTCTCAGGTTTGAGGGACCTCATGGTCAACCTATGGGGCCTCGAGGTCAACCAGGGGGTGGTCTCAGGTTTGAGGGACCCCATGGTCAGCCCTTGGGGCCTCATGGTCAACCAGGGGGTGGCCTCAGGTTTGAGGGGCCACATTTACAGCCATTGGGGCCCCATGGTCAACCTGGAGGTGGCCTCAGATTTGAGGGGCCCATGGGGCCCCATGGACCATCAGGTGGTGGGCTCAGATTTGAGGGGCCACATGGACCATCAGGTGGTGGGCTCAGATTGGAAGGACCAGGTGTAGGTCCTCGGTTGATTGATGGACCAATACACCAGGGAGCTGGTGGACTTAGATTTGATGGTCCTTTGGGTCGGGCCGGCCCAAGGTTTGATGGTTGTCACGCAGCTGGATTTGATGGTCAGCCTGGACAACTGTCTCTGTTACAAAGATTTGATGGAATCCATGGAACACCTGGTCCAAGATTCGAAAGGGCTCCTGGCCAACAGGCACAACCACGTTTTGATACAGCCATACCTCAAAGATTTGATGGACCTCACCAGCCAGCCTCTAGGTTTGACTTGCCACTTGGCCTTCAAGGTGCACGCTTCGAAAATGTAGCTAACCATCCTGCCTCAAGACTAGAACTGTCACCATATGGACAAGGTGGTCCATTTGTTGACCATCCCGGCCAGGGCTACAATGGACCATCTCATGGGATGCAGTTCCAGAGAGCTGATCTGTTTGATGGTTCGCCTGGACCAAATTTCAATGGGCCAGCTGGGCCTGGAGCACAGAACTTCCCACTGCGAGCAGCTGGGCATTACTTTGAAGAAAAAGGGCTTCAAGGTCCTCAGTATGGAAACTTCAATAACATGCCAATGGGAAGTAGCCAGGTGAGAGCTGATGGTGGTAAGCAGTTTGCTTGCAGAGTATTCTTGTGTAGGGAATTAGCAGGTTTTTCTTTCTCTAAAAACTGAAGGTTTTTCTAAAGAGCTGGCAGACTGGGAGCCAGCTTCAAGCTAAAAAAGTCGTCCTGCTTCAGTAGGTTCTAGATAACTTACCGAGGACATGCAGTGCTGTTTTTGAGGAATCTCTTTTTAAGAATGACGGCAAATAGTGGATCTTTACAATCACTTCGTAGCTCAGAATACGACAGTGAAATTAGTATTTTTAAATGGAAAAATGAGGCAATTAGAAGCTTGTGTTGTCTTCTTATGCATGCCCAAAAGTGAATTCTGTATGAAGCATTAAAAGATCACATTACGTTTGTAGATTGGTTTG